GTGTAACCCCCTTTTAATCTTCCTTTTTGACATCTAGTCTGTCATTTCAGCCATTATTATTTTTTCTGTTATGAAACCTTTCTTATTCATCCTTGTTTAATTTTGTAGCGCATTTTGTATGTGAAACTTTCTTATTATCCTAGTTCACTTTGACATAGTCTGTCCTGTAAAGTGTTTGCAGTACCACCCATTCTGTCTTGTGTACATCTTCCAATGTTTTTTCAACTAATTTATTGAAATGATTAATTAAAATAAGTAATAACAATAGGCCCAGTACTGTTAACAGATTGGTCTTATCATTCTTGCAGTTTATTTATTACCATTCATAGAGAACAGCTGCCCAGCCAACTGTGTATCCATCCCAGTCTCAAATATTTTGGGGGATCAATCAAAAGAGTTACTAATGCTGCTGTTATCAACTGCACATCACCAGAAGCACAGAGGCAAACTTCCTTAGTAAAGTCTTCCATCCTCAAATATTCCAAGTACAGCTAGACAGGATGGATATTCTTCTTTCATTACTGACTCTGCTATTTTTATTACTTACTGAAGATGCTTTTCAGCCATGCCACCTCAAGCTGTGATCTCCTCAGATGTACTGAGTTAAGCAGGGTCATTCTGGGTCAGTATTTAGATACTTTGCTACTAGAGAAAGCTTATTCACTGCAGGAAATATTGATAGTTGAGAAAGCAAAACATTTCTTCTGAGCTGGTTTTGAATCAATCAATACTGTTTTAAGTGCTGCTATGCTGTTGGATAATTGAGATGTGATATATATGTCCAGTATAGATTTCCCCCATCTGTGTGCTTTGACAAGAACAATAGAGCCAAGCATCTAGGGCTAGGCCCTACCATTGATCTCAAGAACTACATTTTCTCTCTATTTACTCTAATTGTGTTAATAAATGTTACTTCTTTATTTACACTAATTGTGTTAATACATTTTCCTTCCTACCATTAAAGATGTTTATGTCATACTGTTTTTATATACTAGATGATCCTGTTCCTGTCAAATTGCTCTGTTTCCATGTTATCTCCTGTACAAGTTATATTTCTATTCACCTTATCGAACTACTTACCTTTTAAATCACTTCGTATGTTGGCCTCCTTCCCCCTTCCAAAATTTTGTGTTGCTGTTGCTTGATGTTTGTTTATTACTGTTATGCTGTTTTGTGCCTTGCTATTGTTTTGCTTTTAATTGTATGTTGCCGGGCTTGGCCCCATGGAAGCTGCCCCGAGTCCCCTTGGGGAGATGGAGGCAGGGTAAAAAAATAAAGTTCTTCTTCTTCTACTACTAGATGGCACACAATGGTAAAATTAATTTCCCAGGGAATCAAACATAATTGGCATGAGCAAACAACACTTTATATGTGGCTTTGAGACTTTCTTAACCTCCATGGTTGCTGCATTCTTTGTCATTCAATCTGATGTCATATACTATATTAACTGATCCTGTTAATTTACTCTGTTTCCATGATATTTCCTATGCCGTTATACATTGTTACCCATCTTACTAAACTACTTATCCTTTAACTAGTTCATGTAGTGGTTTTCCTCCCCCCTTCCAAAATTAGTCTTCTGTTATTGTTGTTGCTAGCTATTATTGTTATGTTGTTTTACGCTGTTTTATGCTGTCTTAATTGTTTTGCTTTGTTTTTAATTGTATTCTGCCTTGGGCTTAGGCCCCATGTAAGCCACCCCGAGTCCCTTTGGGGAGATGGAGGCAGGGTAGAAAAATAAAGTTGTTGTTGTTGTTGTTGTTGTTGTTGTTGTTCTTCTTCTTCTTCTTCTTCTTCTTCTTCTTCTCCTTCTTCTTCTTCTTCTTCTTCTTCTTCTTCTTCTTCTTCTTCTTCTTCTTCTTGTTTTTTATACCATGCTTGTTCTGCAGAGTCTTCTAGCTGTCAAAAATAGCTTTTTGAAGTGAAAAGCTAATAGAGTTTTGGACATGTATCTGGTATCTATGTTTGGCAACTTAGGATTCCGGTTTTCTTTCCTATGGTTATTAGGGTTTTGTTAATAATTATTGGAGTTTTTTGTCTATCTAGTTATGCGTGTATAGGTTTGTATGAAAAAGATAGAGATCTTGGAAAAGTTACTTTTGTCTACATTGTCTATTGTAGATATCGGATTCTGATTGTTGCAGTCCAAAAGTGTAATTCCATCTAATATGTGTACAAAATATAACTGCATTATATGTGTAGGTGACAACTGTGTGTATGCATATATGTGCGTATACAAATATTCTATTTAGTTCAACTATGAAACTGGTCATTTTTCTGCAATCATGATGTATTTTAGAATCATAGAGTTGGAATAGACCCCGTGAACCATCCAGTCCAACCCTTTTCCAAGAAGCAGGAAAATTCAAAGCACACCCGACAAATGGCTATCCAGCCTCTGTTTAAAAACCTCCAAAGAAGGAGCCTTTAATATAAAACCTCTCTCTCTCACACACATGCACATATATGTGGCACTTGTTTCAAAAAGGTATCAAATCCATCTGAACAGGAATAAAAAACAGGCTTAGAATAGACATTCTTTTTCTATAAAATGCAGTTTTTCATGCCCTTTAGCAAAGTCATTTGATAAATTTTGATAGTTTTGATCTGTATGTAATATTCTACTTCTATCCAATAATGTGCTTCCACCTATAACTCATTTTCTTTCTTTTCTTTTCTTTTTCTTTTTGGATTTGGTTCCTTTTGGAAACAAACTCCACCTATATACACACAGTGCGCCTTTGGTATTCACTGAAGTTTGGCTCCTGGACCTTTCTGAATAGCAAAATCCATGAATGCTCAAGTCCCATTGTATACAATGGCGTAGCTAATTGGTGTCCCTTATAATGAAATGGAAAAATCAAAGTTTTCTTTTAGGATTAAAAGAAATTGAGAAGCCATGGATGGTAGAATCTGTCGGTACGAGGGACCGACTGTGCATGCATACTTTGTGAATATATATCAAAGCATGCATGGCTGTATAATATTTCAAGACATAACACACACACACCCATCCCCCCCACACACAATGCTGGAAAATGCCTAGATTCAGGGTATTTTCAATTTTGTTGGTTGCCACCATTCTTGAAATAGCAGAAATATAAAGAAAATACCCTAATGTTTGTCCTGCAAGGAATCAGGCCACTAAATCATGGGAATTGTATGGTTTATGAAAAATTTCAATGAGTCTACTATAGACAGAAATAACAAGAAATTATTCCCCTTATATCAGGGATGCGAAGGATGTAGCCCACTGTTGTTGGTATATAAGGTTGGAGGTATTAGGAACAAAATGTATCCCTTTTACTTTTAAATCCCTTGCTTGACTTTCTGCAGTAGTAGGACAATAATGAGACTGCCACATTTATTTCACCATTATAAGTCTTCTTGCTGAGAAACAGATTTCTCTTAATTTATTTTTCACATTGTAAGGTAAATTAGTTCACTTCCAATTTAAAGTTGATTTCAGATTCTTCCATATGTTTAGCAAGAGAACTTGTGTCTATGAGTCATCTGCCAGCACTTTCCCAGTATTTAGCCTTCAAAGAGCAGTGGTTTCTTTCTTCTCATTCCATTAGTCTAGTATAGGGTTCAATTGAGCTTGTTGCGTTGCTGCATTGAATGTCAAATGGGTGTTTTGTGGCCTCATTTCACATTAAAGTAAAATACAAAGATCTTACTAAAATCATGGTTAAGGTTGATAATTCCAAATATTTTAAAATCCCAAGACTCTGAAATAATAGATAATAGTAAATTATGTGTTTAATTTTTAAAAAAAATAAGAGTCTGATTTAACTATGAAAATGAATTGAGATTGAAATGAATGGGGAAGTGAGTTACGTTTGACGTCATTCCTGATTTCCATGTGGCTATTCTTAAGAATGACTAGGATAATTATAGCCATTATAGTAGAATTATAGCCATTTGACACCACTTTAACTGCCATGGCTGAATGCTGTGGAGTCATAGGAGCCCCCCCCCCCCGGTAGCGCAATGGGTTAAACCCTAGTGCTGGCAGGACTGCTGACCGACAGGTTGGTGGTTCGAATCCAGAGAGCGGGGCAAGCTCCCGTTTCAGCTCTAGCTTCCCATGCGGGAACATGAGAGAAGCCTCCCACAGAATGGTAAAACATGAAACATCTTTGCACCCACTGGGCAGTGTCCTTGCAGACAACCAATTCTCTCACACCAGAAGTGACTTGCAGTTTTTCAAGTCACTCCTGACACACACACACACAAATGGAGTTGTGGCTTTATAAGGTCTTTAGCCTTCTCAGCCAGAGAATATTGGTGCCTCATCACCCAACGAATCCGGGGATTCCATAGTACAGTTAAACTGGTGTCAAACCGGTATAATTCTACAGTGTAGATGGGAGATAGGTCTTGATCCAGCCAGTATAATTTTTTTCAGTTTTGGTCAAAATATTTTTGTTTGTTTGTTGTTGTTGTTTTGCAGTGTTCTGAAATTCTTTATTTTTTCCAGGAAATTATGTTACAGTATTGTTATTTTCTTCATAAACTGAATCTGTATATTCTGCCCTTGAGGTTCAGGGAATGCAATACAATAATTGCTAGGCATAAATGAAAATTGTTTATTTGTAAATATTGATACCATTTTACCAAATATGTTGTAGAAGTATATTTTGTTCACAATATAAACAGCCCTGTATACAGATACTTTTTTTAAAAATTGATCAGTTGAGCAGGTAAGCCATGGTGGAATCGATGAGTGCTTTCCTCTTTTCTGCTGGATGATAGGTTGCAGTAAAATGTTTTAAAACGCCTTTAGGGGAATTACTGTCCTTATAGAATATTCTTCTGTTACAATTGGCTCTATATCATAGTCATGTTTGTTCAATATCTTCAATATAATAAGGGCTTTTACTCATTTGTATCAATTTTATGTAAATTCCTCTTCATACATACTTTCACTGGAAAAATAACTTTGCATCTGCCTCATGGTTGGGAACATTTAGCAATTTCTGTTTTCTTTGTAACAGGACACTACAAGTATAGAAAAACTGGCAAACTGTTGTGAAGAAACGTAAGTATTGTTGTTTGGGTTTACTAATAGCTTTATGGGGAGTTGTGGAGTTAAAGGCTAAAGTATGAGAAAGACACTGAAAGTGTTCATGAAGCTTTGCATGCCTTATTGTACAATGAGCCGACTTCTCTTTCATGCAAAATAATTTCAGATTATTCTTTCCTGTCTAAACCCATCAAGCTAGGTTTTCAAAGGGTAGACAAGAAAGATTTTTTGTCTTGTTTTGTTGGCAAACACTGTGTTGACCGTGAGGCTCGTCTTATTTTTAAGACTTCCTTTGGTGGATACAGATGCAGTTTGTGCTTCTTGCGGTTCAGTCTCAGCTGCAAGCCATGGTGAAAGGAAAGCTATGCTTGTGGTGGCTGGGACGCAATTCATCAGAGTCAAGTAATGGATCCCCAGCCAATCTGTATTGTTCTAGTTGACTGAAGTGCACCATGGGAGTGCTGTCTTTCACTAATAATGCTGTCGTCTGTAGATCGAGACCCCGAAAGCCGTGGCAGCAGACCTTCTCAGAAGTTTTTGGCACTCGCTGGAAGATCCTGTGGTTTATTCCTTTCAGGCAAAGGCGACCACTGCGAGTTCCCTACCACTTTGCCAATCACGTCTAAACAGATGGATGGTGGGCACAGATGGGTCCTCCATGCTGGAAGTGCGTTGCAGGTTTTGTGATAATAGAACTATGACAGTCCTCAAGTCAATTAAAATCTACCCACCAATCTTAAACATCACAATGTGCCCCAGGCTTTATTTTAATAATAATGATCTTGATTCTGTTTTGGGATTAATGCACATTTCTCTGTTTACTTTTAAAGTGTACTTACTTTCACATTAGCTTTCTAGAGGAATTACTTTGATATGTGAGGTTAATAACAAACACAGTGATTGATGTACAAACATTACAGTTTTTTTGTCTTGATACTGGATAATACGATGATATGTTTTGATAGAAACTGTCATTTGCTCAGATCAATGGGCTTGAAAAGTGTCCTGCCTGGCTTGAATTTTTTTATTTATTTTTAAATCAACAGTACTCACTGGATTATGTGGAGAGCCCCCTTTTCTTGCTAATTTGGTGTAAATCCCCATTGCCTTCTTTTTGTCATTTATGATGCATGGTAATGATTGAGCTGCTCATCTAAAGGCAAAAGTGGGATTTTAATGGTTTTTTTTAAAAACAACGGTTTTGTATCTAATGCATCCAGTTATAAAATTGTGTTCTTACTGTCTTTGTAATTAAAACAAAAATGAAAACCCTGCTGTTACTGTAAAAGAAGAAATTGTATTATCAAAAGTTCCTTCCTTCTCCTTGTAAATGCAATAATTAGTACTAGGTGGTAAATGTGTATTAGAAACACATACTGGGGCAAACTTAGGCAATGATCCAGCCAAAGTTAAGCACTTCATTTTACTGATATACTTGGACATCTCTTCAAACATTTCTGAAATGGGAACCATGTTAGTCTGTTATGGAAATAATCTGATGGCACCTTAAACATGATGAAATGTATTACAGTGCAAGCTTTCGTGGATTTAAGCTGGCACATGCTAATTTAGGAACAAGCCTAATTGAGTTCAGAGGTACTTCGCTTCTGAATATAGATGTATAGGATTGCTAAATGCTTAATTTTTGCAGCATCATGCCTGTTGGTTTTACTAGTTGCTATAATATATCAGGTATAAACATATAAAATATGCTGTTGTTGCTATAATTATACTTCCTGTTTTGTATAGTCACCACTAGAAATATTTAGAATTTAAATTTGAAGTGTTCATAGATTGGTTAATATATAGGGGAGATATTTTTAAAATGCTATTTAAATATGGGTGGTAAAGAGAAATATTGGTTACTGTGCATAAAGTTCTAATTTAATTTGTATTATTATGTTATAAAAAGTGAAATGAAGCATCTATGCCAATATGGCAGGATTTAAGCTGATCTGCAATGGGTAGTATGATATTTACCAAATGTTGGCAAGTTAACTTTCAAAGTGAAGTTTGCTTTCAAAGCATGATGTGATCTATGGCCTAGTTTTGTAAGTAGTTCACACAATCACAGGGTACTGAAATGATTTTGGTGCATGGACACTGTGGTGTACTCTTAATTGTATTGTTGGCACTGAAGTAGCTATTTGCATTGCTTTGCTGTGCCTTTTGTCTGCTCAGGCCTTGACATAGCCCAGCCTTTCTGAAACTGCTGTTCTCTAGGGGTTGGTCTACAGTTTTGCCATATGTAACCATCATATTTAACCATATAAGGCGTGACTGAGGGTGAGTTACTGTCCTCAACATCAAGACCACAAGAGTGGGAAAGTCTTCCATAATCTCCCCTTTATATATTGTTTAGCTGTTGAGGAAGTTCAGCCTCTACCTTTGCATTCCATCCTTTGGGCCTATGGAGGTTTTGTGTCCATACACATGGAAAACATGTCCTTGGGCCATGAGCCCAGTAGGCGTGGGTGGATATTGATTAGTGAACCAAAGCTAGTTACTGTTTATACTCATGTGTAAGTCTAGAAAATTTTGTCAAAAAAATTAACACCCCCCCCCCCAAAACTGTTCAGTGTAAGTCCTATCCCTTAACTCTTATCAAAAAGAGAACCACCCCTTTGCTAAGTAGAGGTGGAAGGCAAAAGCTTACTTTAGCTTAGGAAAACTTTAAAGAAGCACCAATACCCTCTACTCCTTTTGCCTTGGTGGGAAATGGCAAAAGAAGTGGCCTTTTACATTTTCCCTCAAAGAATGTCAAAGAGAGTGGAGGGTTCTTCTGGGATGAACTAAGCTCTTGCCATTCACCACTTGCTCAGAGAACGGGGTTGTTCCTTTTTTGGGTAATACTATGCATCAACTTTTATCAAAAAAGGAACCAGATCCTTTTCTGAATAGAATGCTGAAAAGGCCTTTCTGAATATATATTTTATATTTATCATGTCAGAAGCAAACTGGGGGTACAGTTAAAATGTATTTAAAAAACAAACAAAGTTAAAAACTTGACATTATGCTAAATTTCCTTTGACCAGAAGCTGCCCACTTGGAGTGCCTCTGGTGTCGCTATGAGAAGGTCCTCCATTGTCCATTGTGCATGTGGCAGGGCTCAGGTTGCATTGTAGTAGGTGGTCTGTGGTTTGCTCTCCACTCGCATGTTGTGGACTCCACTTTGTAGCCCAGACTTTTTCTTCGTGGACTCTGTGAATGCACACATGTGGAGTATCCGTGCCCGTTCAGGCTCCAACAGAAAACGTCCAAAGTTTAAATCCAAAATTTTGGCGGTAACCCCGCCCACTCCCTTCTCCACGGCATAAAAGGCACCCTGGCCACAAGATCTGCAGGGTTCCTCATCCGGCCTCAGCCACTGATTGAGGTTCTGGGTTTTAACCTGCCACTTTTGGATTCTTGCTTGCTTAGGTGTTCTTGCGAGTATCTCTGTCGATCTTAGGAAGCTGTTTCTTGATTTAAGGAGTTGGCATGCTGGCTGATATCTGAACAGAGGATGGGCTGGAGATGTCAATGTCTTGGTCCTTTCATTATTGGCTGCTACTTCCCAATGGATGTCAGGGGGTGCAATACCAGCTGAACAGTGTAGTTTCTCCTTTGAATGCCTAGGCAGAAAAAAAGTGAGGAGCAGCTGCCCCCCTGAGATGACACTATTGTTTTCCCCTCTCCCACAGATGACCCTTGATTTATTCAGGAGAAATATCAAAATCCATAATTTTGACCTCAACATTTACCCTCAACTTTTACATAATGTTGACTTATACATGAGTGTATACAATAATTCTGAACGCATTGTGTGTGTTAGGGCTTACTTTAAGGGCATTTTCAACTTGATGCTTCCACAATCAAACTATATTATTTGGTTTTGGTTACAAAAGATGTCATCATTTGTATCCTAGCCACCTAAAGTCTGTGTGTTGCTGTGATGTAAATAGGGGATACAGTGGCATACAGTGAGACCCATGACAGACATGAGATGTCAACTAGTTCATCCTTCCATGCTGCTGTACCAAAAAGAACCAGTTACTGTATCCTTAACTATATTTGACAGATATAGTTAATGTGCTTATAAAACCTTTGAATTGTTACTATTAGGAAATAGTAACCTGGAATTAACAACACACAGTTGCACTGCAAATTAGGTCAGTGCTCTGCTTAGACCAATTACTTATTATCCTTAAAAAATTGTTTACCATTCTGATTGTATATTAATATGCTTATTATGATACAGGAGTTATTTCATGTTTTACATTTATTCCTACACTTACTGAGATAAAAAGAGTATTTTTATTTTGAAAAGTTCTTATTACCTCATTGATAGAATTGGATTTTGGGGAAACATTAAATAAACAATAGTATTACATGCAGTTTGATTTTAAAAAAGAAGCGAGTGTTTTAGTCTTCCAGAAAGCTATTGGAGTTTTGGAGCCAATCATAGTATTTGATTGAAAGACCTTGGCTCTTGATTACTTTCCCCTAGCATTGCTTATGATTTAGATCCATTAATTTATTTTAACACATTTTAAAATCATTCCAAATAGCTGGTCTATGGGATAATATTCCCTGCTAATATTTATTTTGAAATTCAAATTGAAGGAACAGAAACTGTACTTGAAACTAAATACATATCAATACCACATTGTTACCCTTTTCTCTTTCATCACCTATTGCATCCTATTGATTACCAAATGGTATTAAAACATGGTTTGGAGGTGGGGGGTCCATTGTATAAAACTATGATAATACTGGATGTATCACCAAAATGAACTCTGTGTTTCTAAAAGTTTGCAAATGTTCCATGAGCTTGAAAGATCCACTTTTCTCTTGTTGTCAAAGTGCCCTCTCTTGGTTGATTTGTATAATGACACTGGCAATCTGCCTTCAAAAAAAATGCCTTCTAATTTCAGAAAAGAAAACAGTATTTTTGCACCCGTCTTTTGATAGACATGAATATTGATACTTCAGTCGAAAAAAGTAGTTCAATAGATGGTATGTGAGCAGCGTAGCAGACTTCTGGAACTGGGAATAAAAATGAGTTCCTTTGTATGTAGAAAAAAGGGAACTTGTTCCTCCATTCAGATATGCTTTATCTGGCGTGACTAGTAATACTCCTGTTTGAAAAAGTAACAAGTATAAGAAAGATAGACATTTGTGCCAGTGATATCTCCTAAACCTGGATGTTTGAAAACCTACATATGTGGATAAAAATCTGATAAACCACAATTGTGTTAATTCCCAGAATTTTTTTTATGTAAGGAGTGACTTGAGAAACTGCAAGTCACTTCTGATATGAGAGAATTGCCTGTCTGCAAGGATGTTGCCCAGGGAACACCCGGATGTTCTGATGTTTTACCATCCTTGTGGGATGCTTCTCTCATGTCCCCACATAGGGAGCTGGAGCTGACAGAGGGAGCTCATCCATGTTCCCCCTGGATTCGAATCTCCAACTTGTCCATCTTCAGTCCTGCAAGCACAAGGGTTTAACCCAGGGGCGCTCAAACTTTTTAAACAGAGGGCCAGATCACAGTCCCTCAAACTGTTGGAGAGCTGGATTATAATTTGAAAAAAATAATAATTTGAATCCCTGTGCACACTGCACATATCTTATTTGTAGTGCAAAAGAACATTTAAAAACAATACAATAATTAAAATGAAGAACAATTTTAATAAATATAAACTTATTAGTATTTCAATAGGAAGTGTGGGGCCTGCTTTTGGTTGATGAGATAGGATTGTTGTTGTTGTTGTGTGCTTTCAAGTCGTTTAAGACTTAGGATGACGCTGGGCGAGAGCCTTGGAGGGCCTTAGTTTGAAGACCCCTGGTTTACCCTATTGGACTTCTCAGATAATGGCTTGTTATCATTTCTGGATATCTTATCATCAAAGGAAAAGTATCAATCAATTATTGTCTGCTCCTAACAACTTTTGAATACACTCAATCAAAGTGATAAGCATTCAGTAAAATTCTAGGTTTTGAAATACCTGTACTTGTATCATAAAGTGTTCATTCCATATTAGAATTCACCCAGATTGTCAGTTTAAAGATTCAGTGACATTACCTCCTGTTCATACTGGGGAGTCTCCTCATAAACCCTCAAACCCCACTTGTAAATCCTAGGAAATGCTTTTGCTGGTGGATCTGAAAGGCAGGATAATAAATGGAGAGATTAGATGGAACTAAATATGTTTTAATATGGCTCGGACAGCTGCTTAATTTTTCTACCCTATTTTGCATCTGTGCTATTTATTTATAATCTTTTAATTTTCAGATGTCTGAATTGAGGTAGTTTAAATTATCTACTGTAAATTATATTATGTTTTGTAATATCTGGTACATGGCATCTAAATAATTAATATATGTGGGAAGCAGGATTGTTTAATTAATTAGGAAAAGGCATTTTAATTTTTTATGCTCATCATAATACTTTTAAGGTAATTACTTCTGTTGGTGGCTTTATAATGGTATGTCTTGTGATTTAATTCTTCTACTCCTTAGGTGTGTTTAAGAGCACTCTCTGTGAACAGCAACTGTTTTCTATGTATTTTATGCCAGGAATGGGAATAATGTACCTCACCATAGAATCATAGAGTTGAAAAAGATTACAAGGGCCATCCAGTTCAGCCCCCTGCTGCCATGCAGAAAAGCACAATCGAAGCATCCCTGGCAGATGGCCATCTAGCCTCTGCTTAAAAATTTCCACAGAAGGGTAAGTGGAATATGTGGAGCAGCATGTTCCACAGCCAAACAGCTCTTACCACCAGGAATTTGTTTCCTAATGTTCAAGTGCAATCTCTTTTCCTGCAATTTGAATCCATTCCTCTGTGTCCTAGTTTCCAGAGAAGCAGAAAACAAGCTTGTCCCCTCCTCAATGTGGGGGCAAATATTCAAACATGACTGTCCTGTCCCTCTCAGCCTTCTTTTCTCCAAGCTAAACATACCCAGCTCCCTCAGCCGTTCGTCATAGGGCTTGCATAATAATAATAATAATAATAATAATAATTATTATTATTATTATTATTATTATTATTATTATTATGGATTTCAATGGGGAATGCTGTAAATAAATACTGCAAAATACAGTAAATAAATAATAAATGCCTGTACCGTAATCAAATGTATAAATGCAAAATTAAGAAATGGATATAACTAAATTTGCAAGATGGTGGCACAGTTAGTACAACAACCTTGTACCCATGCAGAAATGTTTCTGGGTAGCTTTACCTTTTGTGTTGATATTTTTACAGATGATAAGTGCATTTAAATATATTTACAACTAGAAAGAGCATCCTAGTCTTAAAGTTTTAAGCTTAGTGTTGAGACTCTTATGCTGGAAGAGCATGTTTCACCCAATGTTTCTATATGCATTCCCACCACATAACAGACATTTACAACTTGACTTTTGCCAAAGAATCAGTTACTTATTTTTAGCAATGTGGACATATAGCCTTTATTATACTGGATTTCTGCTAAATCAATTCTCAGTTATATACTTCATACATCTTGTTGGATTTCAGAGCATGGTTTTAAAACTCTTGACCCCAGCCAAAGATTTGAGGGTGCAAGGTTGTTGTATTTCCTGTGCCACTGCCATTCCAGATGAGCCAGATTTCCTGTGCTCCATTTCTACAAACATATCTTGCCTTTAAAAGGCAGCTTGTGTGGCTTTGCTTAGTCTCCATAGGCTAGGATTCAATTTTAGGATTTGACCTGTCTTCCTCATATTTGTTCAAGGATCCCTGTGTTGAACCTTTTGCTGTTTGAGCTGGGCTGTTCAGATAGTCAGACTTCTACTACAGCAAGTGAGTGTGGACCAATGGATTTCAAAGATACAGTCGTTCCAGTGCAAATTTGAGTGATGGATTATCAAAAAATTGTACAGGAACACACAATCACGCTCTTGAGACAGTTCTTACCATCAATCACAATCCATTGCTTCATGTCTTAGCTCTGGAGCAGCAGAAGGCAAGTTGGCTCCATCTCCATTATGACATCCTTTCAAATATTTCAAGATAACTATCATATTACTGTTTATCTTTCTCTTCTCCAGACAAAACATATCCAGCTCCCTAAGCCAATCTTCCATGACTTCCAGACTTTTAACCATTTTGGTCACACTCCTCTGGTTCTTTATTTTTACTTTGAAAACTTGCCATAGCCAAATATGCCCAAGAGAACCTACTGATTTAAAAGAGGACCCTATTGGAGGGCACTTTGTTTTGAGCCTTTGTAAATCTGGAGTGGTTTTTTTTGTGTCAGCATGTATAAATCTCCTGCCTTAGCTTTCTATTTTTAAAAAGGAATTCAACATGTAAAATACAATGTCTTATTTGCAAGCAGACAAAGGTAGATTACAATGTGCATGTCATAATACTATATTGTTGAATTTTTTAATATGTGATGAAACAAAGCAAGTGTGTGCTATATAACCCAGAAATATGTTGGTTTTTTGAAAGTGTTTATAAATATGCCTTAGAAAGCTACTGCAACAATAGAATTGTTGATATGGTAAATCAGATAAGCTGTTTTGCATTAGCAATATTAATGTAGATTCTGGGTATGAACAGATTTTTGTTTCATAGAAACTACTTGTGGTGAAAGCACTTCGATATGGGAAACATGTCATGTCTAGGTCCAGAAAATAGAAAGTATTTGATGGAAAGAATTAATATTTTTGTTTCTACTGATTTATATTGATTTGCTAAACTGATTAAACAGAATAATTAGAAGTGAAAATTATTAAGAAACTTTCACTTTTTGGAGTTTATCACACAAGGCAGGCAAATTGCAATTACAGCAGGACAACAGTATCTTTGTTGTAGACTTATGACGTTGCTTCTTCCTCACTGCTCTCCCTTTGGAAGATTTTTTTTAATGAAAAGATACCATTAATGGATTAGTTGCATTTGTAAAAGTAACTCTTTCCAGGCTGTTCCCCACTGGCAGAGCAACAGGAAAGAAGTGGGAACATGTGATAAGTCCAGGGCCTTGTGTGATAAACCCTTTACTCAAGAATGAAGTGTGGCAAATCCAGAGCCAATATGCTAGTAATGTTGAAACATTACATCAGAGGTGCGGATTTAGTGGGCTGAATGAGACACTCCAAGGTATTTTTGCAGCTTATGGACTCTCACTTGCTGTTCCCCCTACTGATAAAAATTGTAGAGGACAGAAGTGGCACACCACAACTGAAACATCAGTTATTATCTTGCAGAACGTAAAAATGTGAAGGGGTTACAAAACTGGAAGTGAATTTCTAGTCAGTTTGGTTGTTCAGGGCTGGGACAATCCATGGCATGTCGTACATAGAGCTTGCCCACTCCTGCATATATATCATAATAGCTTTGAAATTATATACATCTAGATTATTCTTTGTTGAAGTCCAGGATTCAAATAGTGAAGAATGATCTTGAATGATATGTGAATTGACCAGTGCTTATGCACTAGAATATTAATTTCCTCTTCATAACTCCCTAAACCTACTTTGAAGAGGTGGCTGGAGCAGATTCGGAGTTGGGAACGGGATTTGGGGAAATAAACTAGTTGTATGTCATCCTGAAATGCCGTAAATCATTCTAGAAATAATACGTTTCTCGAAAGAAGAAAGTACTGATAGAACTAAACTAAACATTGGACATGAAGTCCTGTTTGAATGAAATCAATCAGTTTACTCATTGCCTTAAATGCCACGTGAACGCTATTATTTTTTTACTCAAAAACAAGTTATTAATTGATTCTATTAGATCACATTGGCCTCAGAGGAATTCACCTCCTGATAAATGTGCAAAGGTCTTCTCAGTAATCATAACAGAAATGTTAGGAAATAATTAAGATGTCAAATTAGATTAGATCATATCAGCTAATCACCTCTCAACAAAGGATCCCCCCAGGTAGGAACAAACCACACCTAAAAACTGTCAGGCCATCAAATGCTAATCAAGGTGGCCACTTGAAACATTCAAACCTAGCTCCAACAGACAAGAGCTCTTTCTTCCACCCTGGACTTTCCACAGATATATAAACCCAGTTTTCCTAGTTTCCAACAGACCTCACAACCTCTGAGGGTGCCTTCTGTAGATGAAGGTGATATGTCAGGAGAGAATGCTTTTCGAACATGGCCACAGAGTCCAAAAAAACTACAAGAGTTCTTTCTCCCACCCTGGACATTCCACAGATATATAAACCTCACTTGCCTAATTTCAACAGACCT